TTCTATGATTGATTTGAATCCAGAATGTTCCAAACCAACTGACCAGTTACTGAATAAGTAAACAGGGATACTGATGAATAGATCAGCTAATTAAAAGACAGACAGACTAAAAGATAGGTCATGGCCAGGTGGTTAGGTCGCTCGACTCACAATCTGCTGGTCGCAGGTTCGAATACTCGTCCCGCCAAACATTCTCGCCCTTTCAGCCGTGGAAACGTTATAATGTGACAGTAAATCCCACTATTCGTTGGTATAAGAGTAGCCCAAGAGTTAGCGGTTGGCGGTGATGATTAACTGCCTTCCCTGTAGTATTTCACTGCTAAATTAGGGACGGCTAACGCAGATAGCCCTCGTGTAGCTTTGTAAAAATTTCCAAACAAACCAAGTAGGACTAAAAGATAGGTAGGTATCGAACAGCGATATAGAGACAAATGGATAGATATGTAGGTGCTTTGACAAATAAGAGAGAGAGGGGGAGGGGGTGAAGATGAAAGATAACATTAAGATCTAAATTGTTATAATATCCCTCCCCCCCCCCCCAAAAAAAAAGAAAGGACTTTGGTCTTTGTCTAAGAAATGGGCTGTAACCGTCAGCTCTTTTGTAAGAATGTGATTCAGGAGCCCTTTCTATCACACACACTCTGGTTCAAGTACACAACTGTTTGCTTATCAAATTAAACGCTAGAACATCCATCGCTACAAGAGACCACTGGCTAAGTGGTTGTCCGGCCATTCTAATGGTCACGAGCCTGCTTAGCAAGAGATTAAACCGCTGAAGTATAGACTTTGAGGGGCCAAAGTGTTAAGAGCTTCAGTCAGTCAAATCACACACAGGCCAGTCTGCTAAGAGCTAGACAGAAATTTCTGTTTTACACAGTATATATATATCACGTAGCTACTGAACGAGCTAGAATCTCCGTAAATATATAGTTGCTTGGAAATTACTTATTAAGTGAGATTCAATTCGGACATGTGCATTAATTCAAACAACGCCCATTACAACCTGTTTTTAGGTTTCTAGACTGCAACAGATTAGGCTAGATTATCATGGTAGTCCAGCTTGATTTATATATATATATATATATATACTTGGAACAATTGTTATATATAGATTTGATATTTATATATTAAAGTATTGTTAGTATGTAAGTAATATAACAAACAAACAAAAAAGTCACGCGCTCAAGATTAGGTTTTTATATTAATAGGTGGCGCTTTTGCAACGTTAATAAATCGCTGTTTATGCAGACGACATGAAATTTTTTTCCTGGATGCTGTACCAGGTGTTAATAAAGTTCGAAGTCTGACAGCAAGCTGCGTGAATCCAAGAATTCAAAAATTGACTCGTTATTCACTGAATTAATGCCTCTTTATTATTTGTACTAATTGAGTGTACCCGTTAAGGGAAAAAAAAATTGTATGAAGGACAATGTTAGATAATGTTCTTCCTACTTTCTTCTTTTGTTAGTAAATCAATAATGGCGTCTTTAGATGATTATTGCATACTCTTCTTTGTGGAAGGTAGTAATTAATTCATTTAACTGATTAAGTACTTATGTCTTTAAAAGTCAAAGCCAAAAGTCTATGAAATAGTGGAAATTTGCCCTATTTCATGGAGCTTATATCCTCCTACTCAAACAAAAATCCTGAAACAAAACAGCCCATCGACACCGTTGGACAGTTTTCACTTATAAAAAATTACGGTAATCTAGTCAGCCAACTAAAAAAAATACAATAATCTAGTCAGCCAACTAAAAAAAAATTAACAGTAATCTAGTCAGCCAACTAAAAAAAATACAATAATCTAGTCAGCCAACTAAAAAAAATTACAGTAATCTAGTCAGCCAACTTTAAAAAATTACGATAATCTAGTCAGTCAACTAAAAAAAATACAATAATCTCGTCAGCCAACTAAAAAAATATCCAAATAATCTAGTCAGCCAACTTAAAAAAATTACGATAATCTAGTCAGCCAACTACAAAAAATTACGATAATCTAGTCAGCCAACTAAGGGTAATAGACGCCAAAAGTTTATTAAAAAAAGTGAAAATTTACTTTATTTCAGGATGTGTGTTTTATATCTCCCTTATCGGACAAAAATCCTAAAATAAAATAGCTCAGGTAAATCGCTAGTCAGTTTCCAGGTACCAAAAACGAGACAAACAACTGTGGTTGGTGGATGTTAACACATATACATACAACACACATTATGGATCAGCTATATAGTAAGATATTGTGCGTACGAGAGAGGGTGAATTTCTATTAATTATTTAGTTATTTCAAACTATTTAGAATGCACGAATCACGTTGCTGAATTGGCAGACTGTAAGAATGGCATGATACTAGTATACTAAACGTTTTTATACTTGAAGTTCATAGGAATTTAAAATAAAGCGAACGCTATCATTCCCCATCTAAAGATAACCATATATAATTACAATATATATTTGTATATATGTGTGAGAGAGAGAGTATACAAAAGTGAAGATATTACAGGCCAGAAATTCATCGGACAAAACTTAAAGAATTTGAATTAGAATTCCAAAAATAGGTCAGTTACGATTATTTTGATTTTTTAAAATTAATTCTGAAGTAATGCTGAAGCTAGATTATCATATAGATATTTATAAACGTACAAGTTTTATGTAAATACAGTTTTTGAAAACGATACATAATTGTTAATAAGAATTTTTTTAAAAAGGGTTAAATGAAAAATACTTCAGAACTTATCGAAATCTTATTTATACTTTTCAAGGGCAGGTAAAGTACGATAATCAATCTGCTATTTAGGATTTATAAAGTAGATTAATTAACATTTAACTGAAAGATTACAGATATTTTTATTTAGTTATAAAGCAAACTTTTAGCCTTCTAGCTAGAACCTTCCAACAGACAGCTGTTTACTGAACAATACTGACTGATATACAATGATCTAGTATTTACTGAACAATACTGACTGTTATGCAATGACCTAGTGTTTACTGAACAATAATGACTGCTATAAAATGATTTAGTGTATATTGAATAATACTGACTGATATACAATGATCTAGTATTTACTGAACAATACTGACTGCTACACAATGACATAGTGTTTACTGAACAATATTGACTGCTATAAAATGATCTAGTGTTTATTGAACAATATTGACTGCTATACAATGACCTAGTGTTTACTGAACAATATTGACTGCTATACAATGGTCTAGTGTTTATTGAACAATACTGACTGCTATACAATGATCTAGTGTTTATTGAACAATACTGACTGCTATACAATGATCTAGTGAGATGAGAATGAGATATACCGATCTATGTACCTCTGTAAACAATATTGAGAAAGAAGAGCTAATAATGTATTTCACGCTGAAATTTTCAGTTAAAAAAGAAAATTCATGAACATTATTAACTTGAAGAGTTTATTGTAAATATCAAATTATTATGTAAAGGTTTTATAACGTTTTCTATCTACAATAGAATGATATATGTTGCTCTCTGTATAAAGGAAAGGCCAAGCAGATGTAGACATTTCATCGTGGTAACCCACAAATCAATCCAGTATCCACAGTAGAATAATACATGTTACTCTCTGTATAAAGGAAAGGCCAAGCAGATGTAGACACTCCACTATAGTAACCCCTCAACTCAATCCAGTATCCATTCTAGGATAACACTAATATTACATCACTACATCCAATATTTGAAATAGGCCTAATACCGATGTAAATGTGCAATAAAAACACTCTCATTAAAAAGAATTACCAAAACTAGTAGAGGAGCGTAGATCATCAAAAAAGGGTAAAAAGTGGCAGTACTGATCCTTATCTATACGAAATGCCAACAGTGGACACCTACCCGTAGTAATTATCTCGCTAAATCCATCGCTACATAAAAAATTATTTAGTTCTTTCTATAAATAGTGACAATTAAATACACCGTTACAGTAAGATACAATTTTCACACAGACTAATACAACTCCTTAGTTAGCCTAACTGAGAAAACAAGCCATATTTTGTTCACGCTATCGTTAATTAACAATAGTCATGTTTGTAGTCATGATGTAGGTGAATGACTGAGGCTTCTCTTTATGATTCTACTGTATGACGTTTCAACATCTCTGAGAACCAGCTGGTTCTTTGTTTTGTTCTTCGAGCATGGGTTCTACATACTAGATTGATTTGGGGGTTACCACGGTGAAATGTCTACATCTACTTGGCCTTTCCTTTATACAGAGAGTAACATGTATTATTCTACTGTGGATACTGGATTGATTTGGGGGTTACCACGATGAAATGTCTACATCTACTTGGCCTTACCTTTATACAGATGCACCAATAGACAATCCCCAATCAACCTCCTACAGACAAGATCTTAACAACAGTAAAGATTCTTCTTCCAGTACTTTGACATATGATAACTTATCGCAAATTTCGTACATTTTTTTTCTTTATTTTTGTCCTCCATTTGGGTACATTTTTGAGAAAACACAAATTACCCCCGGTAGAGATTTTGGACGAGCTACTATATAAGTTTTCTTGTAGTGTTTCAACATTATCTTGAAACTTCAACCATTTCTATCAAATGTCACTTGAGAATAGAAAATCAAGAAACACGCGCTTTCAGAACTATCTGCGTGTTTTCCTGAATTTTAAACAAAAATGCGCAGAGAACTCAACAACTTATTAAAACCGACGTATTTGGTGTTCATTAAGTTGAAACACAAATTACACGCTGAAACTTATTGAGAACCGACACATTTGGCGTACATTAACAACGAAAGACAGACAGACAGTCTACATGTCCTGTTAAAGAATATTCAATTCTAAATTGACTACAAAGTTAATTAGAGTTAGTTTTGATAAAAGAGTGTTTTACCTACCAACACTAGCCTAGTTTTAACAACATTCAACAATCTCAGGTAAAGAGTGTCGGCTGGCTCGGATAAGCTGGATTTTAGGCACTTTTCCTTAACTTAACACTAGTAAACAAAGAAACTTACATGGGATTCGATGAATTCCAGTAAACGTCGAAGAGTTTTCTGCCGTCGACCCCGTTAGGAACCGAGAAAGTACATATCAAGGCGAGACTTACGGCTCCGTATATATAGATCAGAGCCGAGCGCGACATAGTTGTCCCAGTGATGATCCCCATTTGACGGTCCGATTGAAGAACAAGAAGAAAACGCCTTGTACTCCAAATTGTGGTAAAATCTGCTTCCACCCAAACAGCACAAATAAGTCAAACTTTTTGAAAGACTTCCATGAAGCAGGAATTAAAACTCTTTAAAACGTAAAAAAAAAAGAAAGAGCAGCTAATTTTACTTAAACATTCTTGCCCGAACTCTGGCTTACTACACAAACATACGAACACCCGCGCGCACATTCTTGTACCGAACACCCATGCTTAGAACCGGTTGAGTCAATACACACTATACGCCATCTAACGGTAACTATAGGAAGTGCTAATATTTTAGCTACGGTTCATTACCAGTGATGACAGCGCGGAAGTTTTTTGATAGTGTTAGAACGATAACCTTATGCACACAGAGAGTGAAGATAAAAAAAAAAAGAAGCCGAGAAATATTTCTAAGACAAAATAGAACTAAAAGCAACGATATATTACAATATAAATAGTTTTCTCTATTCGAGTGGGTTATTCCTCTTTGTGCAAGAGAGTAAATTAAGTTTTACATACGTAGATTATTACCTTAAAAGTTAAATGATTTAATTATGGAATTCACAGAGTATAAGTATAAGTATAGACTTTTTTCGACAACTTTGAAGAAAGTTGCCCATATCTGCCAAGAAGTAAATAAAACATGAACGCCAAACAATGTAAAAAAAATATATATATCTTACCAAATAAATCATGAATATCTCCGATCTCTGCCTTCGAGAAAGAATATGTCTTTACTATATAAAAATAAAATATTAATGAAATTCAAGGAAGCCTTCCAAATTTCATGTATCACACTAAACTTATGATACTTTAAATAAAAGATCTGGAGATTAATCGTAGAGAGGAAAACACTGGGATGTAGAGACAGAAAGAATATACACTTGGTGGGAGTCCACCATGACCAAGCACCAGGTCTCATAGAAACTCTCGATTTTCACAATAAATCCAAGGTAAATAGTTGATGAACATGGTGGGAGCCCACCATGACCAAGCACCAGGTCTCGTACAAACTCTCGACTTTCACTGTAAACCCAAGGTAAATAATTGATGAACATGGTGGGAGCCCACCATGACCAAGCACCAGGTCTCGTACAAACTCTCGACTTTTACCGTAAACCCAAGGTAAATAATTGATGAACATGGTGGGAGCCCACCATGACCAAGCACCAGGTCTCGTACAAACTCTCGACTTTTACCGTAAACCCAAGGTAAATAATTGATGAACATGGTGGGAGCCCACCATGACCAAGCACC